TCTCAGGTCTCTTCAAAAGCACTCCCCAGGTGTTTTTTTTCAGGTGGAAAAGGCTTGGGTTTGTGTGGGACTCCATGGGGCTCATGTAGGACAGATGGCTCTGCTCTGGGCCTGTCTGCTCAGGGAAATGCCACTCCAGCATATCTAGATTTTGGACATTGGGATCTCTATCAGATGTTGATGTAGCTCCACTCAGGGCAGCTTGGCATGGTCTTACCTTGGAGCAGGGTGTGCTCAGGAGGGTGCTCACGGAACATCTACCATGGCAGGTGCAGAAATCCTTCCTGCTCCCTTCCCAGCCCTCTCTGGGCTCCCTAAGCGCTGCATTTTCCAATAAATATCTTATAATGATGCTAGAAATCAGCTGACCTGCTGCTCTCTGGGTTTTCAACTAGGTCAGCTTTTTCCTGTTTGAAAAAACAATGTTTTTCACATTTTTGAAACCCCACCTTTTGCAGCAGTTGTGATCGATTATTCAGTCACCCACTCCCCCAAACCAGCCATTTCCTACAAACCTGCTTCTTGACAACCCAGAGGCTGAAAGATATGGATGTAAAAAACCCCCAAACCCACCACCCATACCCACCACCACCACCACCTCCTCCAGTTCTCAATTCCTGTTTCAGTTCTCCCCTGGAGTGCTCTGCAATCCTGCACGTGGGAAATCCTCCATACACTGAAAATACATGTTTTATTCTTAAGGCTTGGAAGAGAATGAAAATAAATACTCCACAAGCTGGGGGTTTCTAAGGCAGAGAGGAGGCTGCATGAGGAAAACCTCAGTCCAAAGCCCAGTCCTTTAGCAAGTGCAGACAAATCCATTTGCCTGCCCTGCCCAGGCACCCTCCTGTGTGCTGATTTTTCCTCTGAATAAAGAGGAGGAAAGATGATGGAGGGGGAGGAAAGATGAATTCTCTTGAAGCTGGGTATGACAGGTGTAAGTAAAATGGGTGAAAATGTGAGACTTCGTGCTGGTGGGGAAGGGATTGCACCTTTGGGGAGAAGCTTTCCTGGAACAAGCAGAGTGTGGGTCACAGTGAGGGGAACAAGGTGAGCAGCCTCACAGCCAGCCCTGCACTGAAACTTCCCTTTGTCTCTCCTGACCATTTAAAGTCTCCCAGCTGGGAATTTTGTTCCTGCAGATATTCCTATTTCAGACAGGACCCAAAGTTGCTGTATTTCTTATTTTCTGGCCAGCTCTGTGTGACAAGCACCAGCCATGACGTCCTGCCTGGGGGTGTGCAAAGCCATGGCTTGAAATCAGTGGCCTTGGGGTGCTGGAAGGGAGGGGAGCAATCCCCACTGAGCCTCTGACTCCACATCATCACCTTAGAAGGCCTCTGTTCCCCCAAGGCATGGAAGGAAGGGCTGGTCCTGGTGTCACAGGGTCATCAGCTCCTTTGCTGGCAGCTGTTGAGCATTTGAGAGCGTTTCATGAAGCTGGAGCTGTTGAGACACATCACTGGAGGCTGTGGGAGCACTGTGAGTGACACATCTGGTTCCCTGCTTGTCCTTCAGCATTCAAGGCTAAAGATGTGTAATAGAGCTGGAAAGATCATCTCCTCTTGCAGTGTGCAGCCTGCTGGTGGAACACGACCCCCAGGCAGAGAAAAACTTGGAGAAAAAGTTTGCCCCTGGAGGGCAGGAGGAGTGGGATCACAGGATGACATCCCTGTACCAGAGAGGTCAGGGGGAGATTAAATCTGTTTCTCTCCAAGGAACATTTTGCTGGAGAGGTTAGGTCAGTTGTTTGGGTTTTTTTTTTCCCTCTTCATAAGCATTATTACATGAACACTGCTAATAAGGTCAATTAGTTTCCTTGGCAATAGTGCTCCCAGTTAATGGAACATGGGAGTCTCTGCCTCTCTGAGGACAGGAGTGGTCCTTGCACAAGGTCAGGAGTCTCCTCCTCTCCTGCTGCTGAAAAGGGGGGTGCTGAACCACGGGAGAGCCCCAAAACCTCTGTGCCTGACTGCACAGTCAGTGGATAACCCAGAGTGGTGCCATTGCCTGGGGCAGCCCCGAGCCCCCCTCAGCCCCTGCTGCTCCCCTCTGTCCCCTTGGTCCTTTGGGTCACTCTTTGGCCTCTCCTCTGCAGCAGTTTTGGGTTGACGTTTGCAGCCTTCTGCTCCTCTGCAGCAGCAGCAGCAATGCTTTTGGCCAAAGTATTTTTGAGCTTTTTGATGTCCCCAGCAGTGTTTCTGTTGCTTCTGTGCTTTCCCACGCACTCTGTGCTCGAGGGTGACCCTCCTCAGCCCTCTTGCCTGTTTCCAACTATCCCCCAGGAGTGTAACCCTCATTTTAAATGAATAATCACCTTCAAAACCCGAACAGGTTTTGTGCAAACTCTTCAGAGATAACCCAGCTAGTGAGCAGCACCAGCCCTTTCATGCTTCTCTCGTTCCTCTCTCCTTCCTCGCCTGCTGTTCCAATTCCCCTCGCTGTGGGCTCCTCAATCTGCACAGAATGATTTCCAATTACATTTTTGTTGCTGAAGGCATAAATCTTCTCCCCCAGACTAGTTTGTTTCATGCCCAGGCAGAGCTGTGGTGCTGGTGGAGATAACTAACCAAACCAGGCTGGGGTGATTTATGGACTTCTTTATTTTGTGGTGGAACATTTCCTCCCCTCTTTGACAAGAAATGACCTCAGTCAACTTTAATATTCTACCAGCAGCGATTTTCAGTCCTTGAATCCTTCTTCTAGGGCTTTGAAAAGCTTCTAACCCAAAGCAGCAGCACAGGGAACATTGATTATACACAGAGTGAGCCCCGAGCTTGTTTTGATGCTGATGAGCTGGGAAGAGAAACATATCACACTGCTTTCTTATAAAAAAAGAAAAAAAAACAACACAAAACCCACTCTTTACTAAGCCCACAGGATCATCATTATCCTGAAGTGCACTAAATGGATAATTGAACTAATCCACACTGTGAGGAAGGGACTGATTAGCCAAAGCCTCTTGTTTTTAGAACCAGTAACTGTCTCTACCAGAGCTCTGATTTTTTTTCTCTTTTTCTATGAAAGTAATTTGGTGCATCCTTCAGCACACACAGATATATTGATGGAAGGCCCTTTCCAGTTCTTTCCTTGTCTCAAGAGGGCTGAGTGCTCACTGGGCACAGAGGGGCTGGCACAGCCTGTCAGCACCAGAGGCAGCTCCAGCGGTGCAAGGTCTGCACAGGGTGAAGGGCTGAGGGACGAGGGGTCTTTCTCTGGAGACTCTTCCTTTGCAGCACAGCCCTGGAGGACGATGTGAGGATCCCAACACAGCATTTCACAGCTGGGATGGGGGTGCTGCTGATTCACAGCCACGTCTGTGGCAGCACCGGGGACAGAACCTTGCACTTCTGAGGGTGGGGAGGTTCTGGCACAGGTTGCCCAGAAAAGCTGTGGCTGTTCCATCCCTGGAAGTGCCCAAGGCCAGGTTGGAGGGGGCTTGGAGCAACAAATCAAAAAAACAAATCAACGCTGGGCCTTTATTTAAACATTGTCATTTATTTTGATTACTGATAGCTCCTTTATTTCAAACAGAACAGTTTATTCACTGCAAAGGTTTTTCATGCCTGTTGGAAAGAGTTAGAATTAAAAAAAAAAAAAAGAAAAAAAGGGGAAAAAAAGGAAAAAGGCTTGGATACATGCAAATCATACTGAATGTTGCCAAATGTATTAAAACAAGGAATGGGAGTTTCTTCTAAGTCACCTACTTGCAAACGGAGGAGGAACAACCACTGGCAGCGTGAAGCCCCTCTGGAAAAAGCTTCCAGGTGCTTGGGATGTTAAATGGACGACCAAAGTCTGTTTGCACCCAGAGAAAGCAAAGCCAGGGTCACTGCTGGGAGCCAGGGAACGATCTGGGAGGGGCTTGGAACAAAGGAAGGGGCTCCCTCTCAGCAAGGGGAGTCACGTCTAGTCAACAAGGGAGAGGAAGTTTTTCACACTTTCCTGCCCTCCCCCAGGGTTTAGGATCGAGTGAAATTCTGGTTCAAAAGCCAAGGTGCACATTCCAGCGCTGCTGCTCTGGGGTAATCCACTTTCCATCGAAACTAAAACCAAATCAAACCCACTTCTTGTAGAGAAAAACAGAGGGACGTTTTAGAAACAGAGCACTTCTGGTCCAGGGGGCGAAGGACACAGCTGAGTGACCCAAAGCCTTTCTGAGGCTTTAAATCCCAGCTGGGACTGCCCAACCCTCAGTGGCAGCAACAGAGGGATGAACCCCAGGATTGATTTTCCCTTTAAAATCCTTCAGTACTGTGGTCTCTTGTCAGCAACAGTAACGAGCCTGGGCTGAGCACTCCCATGTTTTGTGCATCACTCCCCAAAATGGATCACACACTCCCAGCACTGCTGGTGCAAGTTCCAGGTACCACATGAAAAGCTCTGGAGTTATTACAGCAGCACAGCTGGTGGGAAACTGGTTGTTACATCTGAAGAAACACTGGGCAGGCACGAGTGCCAGCCTGATTTCGGTAAGGCTGGAGGGTGAGGGTGGTGTCCAGGCACGCTGCGGGCTGGGGTTTAGCTCCACACCAGGAAAGCAAAGCTCTCCCTCCGGGCTGGCTCACGATATTAAGAAAAGTGCCCCTGGTTAGTGTGTGACCAGACTTTAGTGGTATCTCAGCAGATCTGCTGCTCATCAGCTCCTGAAGTCAGGACTGGGAAGGAGTTCAGGTCTATCTCAGTGCAGCCCCCTCTGGGGGTCACTGCTGGCTGTCCAGCATGTCTGGGAGAGCAGCTGGGCCTGCTCAGATCCAGCCCCAGGGAAAGGGAACCCTTCCCTGCCCACTCTGGGCACCCTTCTGCTCCTTCCTCCCTGCTCTTCCAAGGCCCTCCCGTTACACCACCTCGGAGATGCGATTTTGAGAGGACCGAAAGCACAGCACATCACTAATGCTCAACAATACCCGGGCAGCTTTTATAAAATACAAATATTCACCTTTACCTGCTCTTTGAAAAGCAAATCATCGACATTCATGATCCGGGGGGGTGGGGGGGGGTTGGCAGCAGTCCGGGCCCCCGGAGCGTCCCCCCCGTGTGATCTGACCCTCCGCCAGGACCCCCCAACGCCGAGGTCTTGGATTGAAGCAATCCTTGCTCAGCACACTCACCCAAGAGCCCCGGGGCTGCACATCATGTCTGTGGGGTCCCAGCCCCCCGTTCTGAGCGCGGGAGCTCCCCGGCCTCGGCCGTTCTGTCCGAATGCTGTGAGTGTGAGCTGTCAGTGCCCGCTCCGGCACGCAGGTCCTCCTGGCTCTCAGCCAGGCCATCCTGACCCTCCAAATCGCTCAGCTGGCCCTCCCCGAACTCCAGGATGGTCGGCAGGTTGCCTTGCTTGGGGCACCTCCTCTTGAGGCTGACCAGGAAGGGCTGCGGCAAGGAGAAGATGTCCACGTTGTTGCCGAGGTCGATCCAGGTGACGCTGGGGAACTTCTTGGGGTCCTTGAGGGTCTCGGTGAGGTCCCTCAGGACGGCCTTGGTGAGGCGGTTGCCGTTGAGGGAGAGGGTGGTGAGGTGGGGGAGCCCGCCCAGCGCGGGCAGCAGCTGCAGCAGCATGTCGTCCGTGAGCTCCGTGAAGCACAGCTCCACCGTGTCGATGTGCTCCGAGCTGTGCTGCAGGTACGACGTCACCCGCTCCAAGTCCTTCAGCGTCAGCGGGATGCCCGACAGGTCCACCGTGTTGTCCTGGGGCTTCCCCATCAGCACGGCCTTCAGGCTGTGGGAGGAGGGAAAGGACAGGGGCGTTAATGTGGGGTGGTGTCACTCTGGGCTCCGTGGCCGCTCTTGGAGAGGGCAGGAAGGGGAGTTATTTCTGGGGGATGTTCAGATAGGGCTGATACTCAAGTCTGTAGAGGCCAGGACTGTGTCTGTGCAGCTGGGGGGGCAGGGAGACATTTCAAGGCCAGGAACAAGGAGACCATGTTCAAACCCCATAATTCAGAAAGAGTCCTGAGCTCCTTCTTAGAGCCACTGCAAACCCTGGAATGAGGAGGCTGTCCTTTACAGGCTGTCCTTTAGAGGCTGTCCTTTACAGGCTGTCCTTTACAGGCTGTCCTTTTAGAGGCTGTCCTGTTAGACCATTTTCTGGGTGCTGTGGGGCAGCTCAGCCGGTTCTGCCCGTTGTGTCCACCCTTGTGCCATGGATTGGGACAGGATCTGTCAGTCCTTGGGCTGGGGGAGCTCAGCACTGCCCAGCAAACCCTCCATCAGCACTGAGTCTCACTCTGGCAGCCCAGGCTGCTCAGACCAAGCCATGTGAACTACTAACTTAGCCTTTATTTCTCATGCAGGTAAACTACTGCCCAGGCCAAAACCAGCCAGAGAAAAATTACGTCAATGAATGGATGCAGAGCCCTGAGCTGCTACAGGTTTTAAATCAAAATTGACAGGCTGAATCTAAGCATTGTTCACCCAAAGGGTTGGGCCCTCCCTTTAACAGTGTTAATTATGTTAAATAAGGAAAATTTCGAGAAGCAAACAGCTCCTGAAGGTCTGATGGAAGTGACTTAGGAGGGGCATCAGTCCTTGATAGCAGGAGAATGAGAAGGCTTTTAAAAAGGTTACAAAACTGATGTTTTTATGTTTTTCCTTGTTTAGGATGTTTGGTATTTGTTCTGTTTAGTTTGTGGGGGGTTTTGTTGTTGTTGTTTTGGTTTTTTTTTCCTCTGGTAAGACAGATCACCCAAGCTGTTATGACGTGATCTGGTGCCAGGCTCCAGTGGGCAGGTCAGTAATGTCCACACAGCTGGGCTCTCTCTAAACTCTCCTGTGCCTTGGGGACAGGCTTCTCTGCTGTGGTGGCACTTCTGTTAGTGGCAGTTTGAGGTTTGCTGGCTTGGCTGAAACCTCAAACACAGCCCCACAGTCATTCAACAAAATCCACACTTAGCCCTTGACAAGGTCTCCTTTAACCTGACTGTGGGCAGGGAACAGCTGTTAATGGGAGGTGCTTCTCTCTCCTGGCAATTTTTTGGCAGCGCTGGGAAAGAAATCAATGAAAGAGTATATTTATTATTATAAAAAGAATAATTTGGTGTTCCTGTGTTGGCAGCTACTCCTCTGTGACATGTACAGCCACGTCACTTTTTGGAAGCAGCCCCATGTGGAACCAAGGGGATGCCTCAGCTCTTCCCACCTAAAAAACCCAGACTGCTCTTGCCCTGCAGTCTTTGAGCACCAAAGCTGTTTATGGAGGGATCTCAGTATAAATAAATATTATAAATAAATATAAAAATAAAGCACAAAGTACCTCCGTAACTGATAACCATTTAATAGCGTGGCTAAAAAGCCAGGGGTTTGTCCTTGTTTTACCCAGCATGGATATCCCCTGTTTGGAGTGATGCTGCAATCACCTTGGGGGACTTCTGGTGTGGCTTTAAATTTAAGACAGTGCCGTGGGTATTCTGAGCCACCCCGTGGAAACGAGGGGGATAATTATTATGTTAACAAACAGCTGGAACAACTTGTAGCCCTGCCATAAAGTTGGCCACAGAGTGGCCCCCAAATCTCTGGAGGAAGATCTTACAAATCCCTGCGAGCTTTAGTGGGGGATCTGTTACACCCACTTGGTTTCATCCTGATGTTTTACGAGGCTATTTCATAGGGGGAAAACACTGATTTTTTTCCCACCCCCCAGCTGGGGTTTTGACCACTGTAATGACAGGATTGGGAATAAAAACCTGCACTAAGCTCTGCTGACACACTGGCAGGATGCTGGTTTATACACACACTGAAAACTAAGAGCTACTTTACATGCAGTATGGAATCAGATCAGGAAACAAACAAACAAAAAACCCCATAAACAGGAATATTGATGTTTAGATCAAACAGAATGAAAAGAAAGGGATTTCCCCTTGGTTTAAAATTCACGACATTTCTTTCAAGCACTGCGCAAATGGTGAGATGAGACACCAATGTGTCATGTACTGAGGGATAATTGGGCTTATTGAGCCTCCTCCTTGCAGGGCAGAGGAATAGCTCAAGAAAAATGAAGAGGCAGCCTCACAGAGGGAAAAATTACAGTTAGAAATTCATAAGATACCTGGTGAGAAAAGTATTTATGAAAATGCCAACAAAACATTATTGGACATAATGAGTCACCAGAAAAAAAGAAAGAAAAAAAAAAAAAAGGTAAAATACTGAGATCAAAGGCTTGTCCTGAAATACTGGTGGTTTTTCAAAGTCCCTGCTCCAAATGATGGCAGTCAAACACTGGAATAGACACTTGGGAAATGGAGGGAAAAGATACAAATAAATGCTTCAAATGCAGGCCCTCTGTTAGTAAATAATGTTCACTGAGTGGCTGAGCTCCCCTCAGTCTCAGAGGAGGAACAGAGACAAGAAACCATAATTATTTAGCTTAAAGAAGGAATCTGGCTATGGTGTATATAATAATGGATTGTATGTTGAATATTCTATATTCTATTTTATATATATATATATATATATATATATATATATATATATATATATATATATATATATATATGCTGCCAAATTCTCCAAAATTCAGAGACAGGAGATTCCTGCATTGGCCCCACCACAGCTCATCCTCAGTTTTTACTCCTCTGCTTCAGTTTTATACCCCCCAGTGTCTGTGTGTGGCTGGGATTGCTCAGGAGCTGCTCCAGCTCCTTGTTTACCACCACAGAAATGTTTAGAGGTTTATTAACAACACAGTTTAAAGTCCCTGTTCCTCCCTGCCTTTAGAAAGGAACAGCTTGGAAAGATTCCACCCCTCTCCTCAGAGAGATTCAGGGTAAAGAGGATTTGGAAAATATATAAATATAAAAATATGTAACTTTAAAAGCCCCTTTAGAGCTTACCAGTAAATACATTCAAAATTCCTAAGTCTTTGCTGTTAAGAGGGAAAGTACCAGGGGGGATTAGTTATTTTGGTCTCTTCTTGTTCCAAGAGCCTTCCCAGTTTTGCTAAGGTTGGCAGTTTTCATGTCAGAAAGTCTGGACACCCCCTTTGTTAATGTCCTGCCCCAAAATCCCAGCCCGATTCTCCAGTGAGTGCCATCGGATTTGGGGGATGGTAAGGGCAGATTCCTCAGCCTGGAGCTCATCTTGAGGGCAGGGGGAGGAAGTTGTTTCCTCCTCATTTTGTCCCTGATGAGTGATGTGAAAATTAACTTTATTATGGCCATTTACAAAATAATTGTGCCTGCTGGGAAATGGGAAATGTGGGAACCACATCCCTAAACAGGATCTCCCATTGCTGCTGACAAACCAAACTTTTTTTTTTTTTTTTAAGCAACTGAAGAGCAAACCTGAATGGAATGTTAAAATTTCCCCTAAATTCTCCTCTTGCAGCAGGATCCCCGGGGTGGCACACTGGGAATGATGCTGCCAGCGAGCTGCTCTGCGTGTCCCAGCGCACGGGCTGCTCCAGGAATAACTCTGTGTTTACATGGCTTCCCTTTCCTAATCCCACTGCATTTTCTTTGGCTCCACACCAAGGCCTTGTTCCACCTCTAGTCCAGGCCTAAAGCTCAGTAAGTGCTCGGGGTATTTGCTGGGAAGGGTGAATTTCCACCCAAGAGCATCCTGTGCAGCAGCAGAAGTGACACGGGGCTCGTGGCTTCGGCCGTGGGAAGGACTGATGGTATCAGAAAGGTCTTGATCAGTAAATCCTTCCCATCATGGTGATCAAAGTCAAGCAGCTGTGATTTTATACTCCTTCACTAAATCCACAGAATCACCAAATGGTGTGGCTTGAAAGGGACCCTTAAAGATCACCTTGTTCCAACCCCCACTGCCTCACGGGGTGACGCCTCCACAGCAAATTCTAAAAGCTCGTGATGCAAATGTCAAGGAAATGTGATTTTTATCCCTGAATGAGTGCTGACCTTTTCCACCAGCCTCAACTCCTTCACCTCGACCCATCCCATGAAGAGCCAACCACCAGAGAGCAGTGTCACCTCATCAAGTGTCACCTCATAGAGCAGTGTCACCCCACAGAATGGTGTCACCCAGCAGTGTCACCCCACAGAGCAGATGGTTTAGGGCTGAGCTTGGCAGTGCTGGGTCGGATTCCCTGATCTCAGAGGTCTTTTCCAACCTCCACGATTCGCTGATTGCTTGGAAATGCCCCCCATGCCATCCCCCCTCTCCCCTGCAGCTCTCACCCATCTCAGCTGCTGCCTCACAGTCTCGGGGGTGTTCAGTCAAAGCACCTAATTAAACCTTTAAAAGCAACAAGCTCCTTGGAAGATGAAGCACTGCTATCAGGAGAAGCAACTTGATAAATATCTCCAGCAGGGACAATTAAGCAGCAGAGCTGCTCTCATTTGCATGAGGCACATCCAGCTCCTGTCATGGTCCAGAGGAGCCCGGATTCAGACGTGGAGTGAAGTGAAAGTCTCCTGCTCTGTTTGAGAACCACCAGTTTTTTTTCTCCTCTCAACTTGTTTTTAATTTCCTGCTAAACAAAAAAATTCTAAAAATAAGCACTTGGGATCCATCAAAGTGCTCTGCTATAATTGTAACTCCATTTAACTTACTGCAGGAAAGAAATGTAAATATACTGCTGCTGGAGTACTCCATTTTTCTATCCTCAGCCTCCTCAAAATAAAATGCATTTGTATCATCCTTTGTGTGACAAATTTTGCTCTCAAGCCTGTGTTTCCCTACAGAGAAACTGTGCTGGAATATTCCCAACAAATTCTACTCCAGAGCAATAAGAAGCTGCAGCTGACGCCCCATTAATAA